GATGGCAGCGACTGGCGGCGCCTGCGATTTGAAATAAGCTAGTAATGTAGATGCCTGGCTGAGGTCCGCTTGCGCGGTTTGAAGGGCCAGGGCGAGGTTGCGCACGTGCTCCTCTGCCTGAGCTTGCTTAGCAGCCAATTGCTCACAATCGGCACGCAGAGAGGCGACCACGTGCTCTTGCTCGCTAATATTGGCTAGCGGATCCCTCGCATTGGCCAATTGAAAATTAACTAACGAAATCTCCTTACGGATCTCGGTGATACGCATATCGGAGTGTCCTAGGAGGGTTGAGGCCCTGAGCTGCAGGATCAGCGCATCCTTGCTCATGGCAAGGGCCTTGCGGTGCTCCAGCAGGCGGTCGGGCTCTAGCGGGGGATAAATCCAGGCTGAATGAGAGTGCGCCTCGTCTGGGGTGAGGATAGGGCATTGCGCTGTGAGCTCTGCTACTGAGAGCTCAGTGGCAGGATCCAACGCGCCGAGAGAGGAGAAGGCTTGGTCGGCCATGAGGAACGGAGACTGCTGCACAGAGGCAGGGCCGAAGAGTGTGGGGGAGGTGGCCTCACCTTCGGGAGGGGGCGCAAAAGGCGAAGGCTGCGACCGGGGAGACTGCCCGATGATTCCCGTGTCCTTGGCGCCGTGCGGGGTGCCAGGAGCCTTTGAGGCGGGCTGCCCCCCCTCGCTGCGCTGGGCCTCACGGGCCCTGCGAGCCTCGCCCTTCTCCCGCTTCTTGCGCTCCTTGCTGGAGAACACTTCTGGCTGGGCCGTGTGGTCTCCTGGGGGTGCGGGGAGTAAGCCGTACTCCGCTGCCCATGCAGCCACCTGGTCGAAAGATGGCGGATTTGACGGAGCATGGCCTTTGCCCATGTGTGCCCCACCCGTGCTTCCAGAAAAGGAGCGTGGGCCCTTGTGGCCCGGCCATGGGCCCGCACCTTGCAGGGGCTTGCGCTGCTCCTGACCTTTGGCGGGGCCGGGTGTCACCTGCTGGGGTCCCGCCGCCCGAGTCGGAAAACAGGTGGGGCATGAAACGTCAAAAGTGGTATTGGCCCGGCCGCACTGCAGGCAATACCAAAGCTCGGGAGGGGCGCTGCCTTTCTGGTGCACTGGCTGCTGGGGGGGAGGAAAAAAGTCAGCAGGCAGGCGCGTGGCATATAGGGACGGAGAGGGAGGAGCAGCCATACGCTGCGTGGGGGAGGTAGCCATGCCGTGCTGCTGCAGCCCTGACGTTGGCGAGAGAGGCGACGCGCGAGGCGGGGGCAAGGTCGTGGGGACAGCGCCTTGCTGCGGGAGGCCCTGGAAACAGTGGTGGTGAGAGAGCATCATTGCGGCTTTATGCACTCTTAAAAGTGTGCGGGCGTTTGCGCGCTGTTTGCGCGCTCTGCGATGATGAGCGGGCTCGTCGCGAGGCCGCTGGGGGTAGGAGGGAGGAGAGTAAGCAGGCGTCGCGCCTGGCGGGTGGCGGCCCTTGCGGGCGTCGCGGCGGGGATCGGCGTGGAACCGGTTTGCAAACCGCTCGAGCCAAACCTAAGGCATACGGGAGGGAGGAGGGGGCGGGAGGAGGGAGGACGAGGGACGAGGCGGCGGGGGGAGGAGAGGAGGGCGGGGGGGAGAAAGAGGCGGCGGAGGACGAGAGGAGAGGAGGAGGATGGAGGAGGAGGAGGGACGAGGAAGAGGGGAGAGGAGCGCAGGACGTGGGGGAGGAAGAGGCGGCGGAGGAGGACGAGAGGAGAGAGAATAGATGAGACAGACAGACAGACATGCTCATGGAATCCCTCGTCAGCTGACCTGGCAAGTGGACAACAATTTCTGAAGAGTTTGGATCCTGAGGGGCGAAAGAGTTTGGACCCCAAATTAAAGCGTGGGAGCCGTGCGGAGGAGGACCCCTGTAAACCCAAGACCCATCAAAGATGTGGCAATAAGTCCTCCTTTCAAGTTCCCGCGACATCGGTCCCTGCAAAGATCCACGTTCACTCAGGGAACTGCCCCATTGCAAGAAAACCGTCTGAAACATCCAGAACCGTGTCGGAACATCAACACTGCGAATCAACGCTACCGTTGCGTCCTGACGATCCTGACTCCTGCCAGAACACCATCTCTGGGACGTCAACACCGCGAATCAACGCAACCGTTGCGTCCTGACAGTCCTCCATCGTGCCAAAACAACATTCCTGGGCCATCAACTACACTAATCAATGAAGCTGCTTTGAACTCTAAGGACGAATGTGCGCGGCGTCAAAGCAAAAAAAAAAAACATAAGAAACATCTTGAAAAAGGTGCTGCCCTACATCCGTGACGCTCTCGTCAAATCGTGCGCGGCGCTGAAGCGAGAGCCACATGTTGAACAAGGTACCGCCCTGCATCCGCAAAACTCCTGGACACTGTTAAGACCCAGATGCGCGGCGCTCAAGCGACAACCGCATTCCGAAAGCCACCCGCCCTCCATCCGTGAAACCCGTTGCACGTGTTAATCTGAAGGATCATACATGGTATCAAGGCCTGGGCGACACACCCGACCCGCCCTCCCGACACGTCTCGGGGTGCGACACCGAGAAGTCACTTGCAGGGGCAAACGGGATGGAGAAGGAGGAGAAGGAGGATCATCACGTGGTTGGGGGCGGAGTCTCAGTCCACCCTACGGCCCATATCACCCTGTTGTGATTGGCCTTCTCTCTATCTCTGGCGGGACATGTAGTCCGCCAGTCTTTCTGGCGGGCATTTGAACGTGGAGGCATCAGAGAAGTTCGAGCGAGGGTGCTTCCCCGCGCACAGAAGACGCCGGAGGAGCAGCAGGAGCAGGAGGAGCTGGAGGAACGAGGGCAGATCTGAGCGGGCCCATCCGCTTGCAGCAACGGGCTGCAGGCCTGCCCCGTCAGATGAGGCTGTAGCCGTCCGTGAGGCCAGCCCTGGGGCGGCCGATGAAGAATCCCACCGGCCCTCTGGGCAGCGGTGGTGCGGAGCGTTTCCTCCAGTCGGACTGCATTGGACAGGACACGCAGGAGGACACAAGACCCTTCCGGGGGCCACGTTGCCGTAGGAATGCAGGAGGCACGGGTCGCGAGGCACAGGACACAAGGCTTGTTCGGCCCGATATTCGATCCTCCCGCGCCTCCCGGCGCCGGGAGGCGCCTGGAAAATCAGCTACGCGAGCTGATTCTCACCCCCCCCTTTGCTATCCCCCCTTTCGTTCGGCCCGATATTCGATCCTCCCCCTCCTCGCCCCTCGGGAAAAGGGGGTTCACCCTTGTAGCCCCTGGGCAGCGGTCCTGGACGGGCCGGCACGAGCTGCCCGCGGCTGGCAGCGTGGAGGAGGCCGTGGGAGCCCGTGGCGCCGAGCGCGCTGGGGAAACCGCCCTCCGTGGCGCAGGCGGGGTAGTCCTCAGAGGCTTTGGACGCCCGAAATGGGTACGGAAAAAGATTGGCGCACTGCCCAACAGCACGTGGTGTCCCCAAAGCAACAGCGGCCGCTGTTGGGCAGGCGGTCTTCTGTCTCAAGTGGACACGGGCCGCGGCGGCGCGGACAGCGAATCCTGTTCAGAATCAACTGGAACTGCTGTTCTGGCCATCGCTCGGACGCCCATTCCCTGTGTTTTTTTCGGTTTCGTGCGTGGTTTTTTCGCCGAGTGATCGAGGACGCTCCTCGATGGTCCTCGCCGAAGGGAAAATGCACACGTCCGAGCGATGCCAAGTGCTGGGCATTGTACCTTTCCTTTCCGTACCCATGTCGTTCGTGCTGCGAGGTGCTGTGGGTCCGCCTCGGCGCGCACGCCGGGCCCCCAGCAGCGCAGCGCCGGTCATCGGGGCAGCAGGGAGGAGGCGATCCTGCCCGCAGGGCGCGTGCCCTGCGATCTTGTGGATGCCACTGGAGGCGCCCTCGGCGGCAAAACTGCTGCGACGCTTGAGCCCTGAGGCGATATTAGCGAGGTGCGCCTCTCCTGGGGGTCCTGGCTTAATTGGCCACGTGGCTGGCAGGGCGGGAGGTCCCGCGCCCCTTCCAACTCCAGCCGGTGGCCTGCCAGAGCAACGCGGGCGGCGGTGTGCTGCGGAAGGACCCCTGGCGAGGCTCTCATCTCCTTCGTGCGCTCGCGACATTGTGTAATCTTCAGGTCGGCCGCTTGCGCAACGCTCTACCGACATGCGATTGCTTTATTGGTCGCCGTGGACCCGAGGTGGGTGGTGGCGCTCTCGCCTCTGAGCGGGAGCCATTGGCGCCACCGCCGTCGGCGGCGACGCAGAGCTGGCCGCACCAGCGATAGAGCGATAGATCTAAACGGGGGCACCGAGAAGCGAAGTGGCCAGCGTGCAAGAGCGGGAAGAGGGCAGAGGGGGCGGCCGCGGAGGGGGGGAGGAGGACTCGTACACTCACAGGCACTCGCATGGCAGCGAAAATTGTGGAGCGCTGCCAGAACGAGGAGGAGGGGCGGGGAGGAGGAGGGGGGGGGGAGGGGGGGGCGGAGGAGGAGGCATGCGAGAAAAGGAGGAGGGGACGGAAGAACGGGGAGGAGGAGCGAGAGCAGGAGCAGGAGGACGAGGAGCAGCCGCCAGCGGAGGCGGCCTCGTTGCACTTCCGCCATATTCCGCCTCCCTTCCGCCGCTCTGCCCCGGGAAAGCGATGCCAACCCCAAAATTCCTCGAAGGCAGCGAGGCCCCTTCTGGAGCACGCCATATGAGGAGGAGGGGGAGGAGGCGGAGGAGGAGGAGGAGGAGGAGGAGGAGGAGAAGAAGGAGGAGCAGGAGGAGGAGGAGGAGGGAGGGAGGGAGGGAGGGAGGGAGGAGGAGGGAGGGAGGGAGGAGGGAGGAAGGGAGGAAGGTAGGGAGGAGGAGGGGAGGGAGGAGGAGGAGGAGGGAGGAGGGAGGAGGGAGGAGGGAGGAGGGAAGGGAGGAGGAGGAGGAGGAGGAGGAGGAGGAGGAGGAGGGAGGGGAGGGAGGAGGAGGAGAGGAGGAGGAGGAGGAAGAGGAGGAGGAAGGAGGAGGAGGAGGAGGAGGAGGAGGAGGAACTCCGTGGCCTTCTGCCCCCGGTTCTTGAGCTTCTCCTCCAGGGTCAGCACCCGCTCCTCGGCTCACGGCCGCGACGGCGGTGCAGGCGCCAAGGCTGGTGGGAGCGAGGCGGCCAGAAGGTCGGATGGGAGGCACAGGAGGAAGGCAGCGACGACGACGACGACGACGACGACGACGGCTGCGGCGGCGGCGACCACGACGACGACGACGACGGCGGCGACGACTGCGGCGGCGGCGGCGGCCACGACGACGGCGACGGCGATCACGACGACAGCGACGACGACGAAGGGGACAGGGGAGCAGGAGGATGATATGTTTAGGCTGCCCCCTGCTAGGGACCCGTCGCGCGGCGAGATCCCGAGACAATGGGAGGAACCAAAGTTGGGCGATGACCTTGAGCCCGAAATGTCCAGACCCCCCTGCAATCCAGCACAATCTGACATCGAAAGAAGAGGGGGGCGGGAAGGGGGCAGGATCTGACCAGCAGGCTGGCCAGCCATGGATGGCCGCGAGCGGCCGTCGAGACACCGAGCCGTGAGCCAACGAGGCGCGACGCGAGCGCACCTGCACCTCCTGTGTGGCGCAGGCCGGCCATCGTGCCCAAGATGCTCCCAAGGAGGCCCCAGAACTGCCCCCCCAAAAGGCCTCCGAGGGCGCTCCGAAGGGACCTCAAGCAGAATTCCTGAGGTCCCTGACCCACGTCGGCGTCGTCGTCGTCGTCGTCGGCGTGGTCCTCGTCGTCGTCGTCGTCGTCGTCGTCGTCGTCGTCGTAGACGTCGTCGCCGTCGCCGTCGTCGTCGTCGTCGTCGTCGTCGTCGTCCTTCAGGGTCGGCGGCACCGGCCGTAAGGCCTTCGCAATAAGAAACGGTCAATAAGGAACGAAGCCCCTTTTTGGCTACACAAGCGCCTGCGTGCACGAGGAGGGCCAGAGGAACAGCAATGGGAGGACCTAAGGAACATCGCCCCGCTGGGTGGGCTGATTCGCCACCACGCCTTTCGGGGGCGAACGTGTCCTGGGGGTCCTGTGCAGCCTCCTTCAGTGCTCCGCTTCCCGCGAAGCAACAGCGCGGATCCTCCAGGCAAGTCGACTTGCACATCAGGAAGGGGAGGAACAAGAGGAAGAGCGAAATAAGATGAGGGAAGAGGAGAAGGAGGAGGAGAAACCATACACTTCCTGTTCGCCAGAGCCAAGGCCGATCTGGGGAAAGCATCGGAGAAGGAGGGGGATGGGCGGTGGTGATACTAACGATGACGCTCATGAGTAGGAGTAGTAGGAGGAGGAGGAGAGGACGAACCTGAGGGAGGGAAGGACGAGGAAGAGGAAGACGGAGGGAGGGAGGGAGGGAAGGAGAGGGGAGACGAGGGACAAACTAATAAACGAGGAGGCGAGGGAGGCACCGAGGGCGGCACGAAAGGAACAGCGGGTGGACGGAGAGGCAGCAGCGAGGAGCGGCGACGGACGGTGGCCAGGCTGGCCGGGGAAATCCTCAAGCTCCAGCCTCCGAGCGCTCTCGTCCTCGTAGCGGCGGACCACGTCCTGCGCGCTCCCCAGCAGCCTCGAGACCTCCGCCTCGTGGGAAGGAAGCCCTCCTCACTGCTCTCCGGGCTCCCCAAAGACCCAACGTATTCAAAAAATCAAGACGGAGGTTTTTCGCCGTTTTCGGCCTCTGGGGGCCCTCGCCGAGCCCCAGGACCGTCAAAAACGATTCAGGATGAAAAGAAAGGTCCTGGGGAATGAGTCGAGACTTCCGGGGACCGCGCATTGACAAAAATTACGGCGTCGGATCTCTTGGTCTGCCTCCCCAGACATGCGACGTCCTGATTTTTCTGATGCGCGGTCCCCAGAAGTCTGGACCCTTCCCTCGGAACGGATTTCTCCTCCTGCCTAGTTTTTGTTGACGGTCCCAGGGTAGGGGCAAGGGCCTCAGGAGGCCGAACACGGTGAAAGACTTCCGTCCTCATTGTTTTGTTGCGCGAGCATTTTCTGAACAACCTGCACAACGATCCCATTTTTCCCTTGCGTTGCTCAAATACGGCGGGGGCTTTGGATAAAGAAATCTTGGATAAGGAATCCGGAGTCTGGAAACCCGCGGAACCTTTATGGCGGATCGGCAATGGGCATCGCCGCCGCCCCCATCATATAAGGAATTCTTCAGGGTCTGAAGCCTCCTGGGCGCATTCCTTAACCAACCCCCCCACCCTTGGAGGTCTGAAAATGGGCGCCAACACCAAAACAGGGGGTTGCCTCCACCAGGGGGGGACGATCCTAGATTTTGGTGTTGGTGGTACTCTTTCGGCCCCCGACGAGGCCCGAATGTTTACATCACCGCCGAGATCCAGGCCATCTCCACACGGTGGAGGCACACCGCCGATATTGGTGTTGGTGCCGACCTCCAGGTGTGCGACACCCCATGGCCACCCCTTCTGGGATTCCTGCTCCGGGCGCGGTGCGCCCGAGGAGGGGGGTGGGGAAGGGGATGGGGAAGGGGATGAGGAGGAGGAGGAGGAGGAGGAAGAGGAGGAGGAGGAGGAGGAGGAGGAGGAGGAGGAGGAGGAGGAGGAGGAGGAAGGGGAGGAGGAGGAGGAGGAGGAAATTGAGGAGGAGGAGGAGGAGGAGGAGGAGGAGGAGGAGGAGGAGGAGGAGGAGGAGGAGGGAGGGAGGGAGGGAGGGAGGGAGGGAGGGAGAGAGGGCTATTTTTATGTTCGGCCCCCTGGCGCCCTGCCGGCAGGCTAAACCAGGTGCCGTCGGAGGAGCAGGAAATGGAGGAGGAGGAGGACGAGGAGGGGGGCTCGGAGGAGGGGCGCGGCGGCGCACCCGGGCCCGAGGCACGCGCGCGGGCCAAGGGGGGCCCCCGGGGGGCGCACGGAGGGAGGCAGTGGGCGCCGCGAGCCCTGGGGGATGGGGCGAGAGGCAGACCCACGCCCTCGAGCAATGAACAAATCACGGGGGGAGGTGTTTCTTACCAGCCTCGAACGTATCCCTATCCCTAAGATTGACACGCCAAAAGGCGATGACAATCTTAGGGATCCGCCCTCCAAAAATAAGGGACTCCCTAAGATTGGCATCGTGATGAGGAGGTGCCCAGCATAGGGATAGGGCTATGTTCCAGGCTGGTGAGTTTCACGATCTTCGGCTTCAAAAACGACTCAGGATGCAAAGCCGGTCATGGGGAGAGGGGTCGGGACCTGGGTGGGTCGGCGTGAAGAACTCATTACGTAGTACCCTGCAGATGCGGATAAGAGTGAAGGGGCGGTGGGGACGCCGGCAGTCTGCGAGACTCTGGAGAAGCCCGCCGCAGGCGCCAAAGTTTCACAAATTATGCAACGAGCCCGCCGCTTTCGTTAAACCAATGTGGGTACGTCGCGGGTGGGTTCGGGGGTTGGGTCGTGTGTGGGTCGCTGGGTGGGTCGCGGGGTGGGTCGCGTGTGGGTCGCTTGGTGGGTCGCGGGTGGGTCGCGGGTTTGGTCGCGGGCGGGTCGCGGGGTGGGTCGGTCGCAGGGTGGGTCGCGGGTGGGACGACGACAACAAACAAGAACAACGAAACAACGCAACAACGCAACAAGCAGAGTTCTCACCACAAATTCCCACTTCAGCCACGCACCCAGGGACAATGAATGGCCGTTCGGCCCCCTCACTCTGACGTCGGGGGTCTGGGAAGGACGTACGCGCCCAACCTTAATGGGTCCTGGAAGCGACAAGGCCGTTTTCTGTTGCCGGTTCCGTCTTGCCGTTTTGGTTGCCGGTTCCGTCGCCGTTGCTTTGCCGGTTCCGTCGCGTTTTTGTTCTCCGGCTCCTGTTCCAGTGCCACTCCCGGAACCGTGCTTGTTGCCGTTTCTGGTCGCCGTTTTTTAAAACGGCTTCCATGTTCAAGAGATGCTTCTTCAAAAACGGTGAAAAAAACGGCCCTGGCCCTGCTTTTTCTGGGGCCCACGAAGCGCCCAATCATGTGCATGAGCACGGCCCCTGGATCCGCGAGACCAGAAGCGTGATACGAACATTCGCGCAACGCGTACTCTCAAGACCAACGTGGACTCGTGTACGAGTGCGTCCTTCTTGCACCCCTGAGATGTCATGGCCTCGCCTCTTGCTGTTCCCGTCGTAAGTGATTACACCAGAGAAAAGCCGAATCAGTGGATGGTTTTCGCTGACGAAATCGACCGGGAACTGGGGAGCACGGGAGCCCAGAACCCACCGAAATCGGCCCGGAACCAATAACCGGGAACCCAGAAACCCAGAACCGGGAACCCGGGAACCCAGCCTGCTACCAAAATCGTCGCGGAACTTTCGCCAAATCCTTCAACTTCCGCTAGGACCCCTTCAGTGCAAGCACTGATTGGGGAAGGACCACATTCCTGTAATAACTTCGAGCACAAGGAACAGTATCGACAGTGCCTGCCCAACACACTGGCGAAGCGTCGAACGAGTACCCATCGCCTCCCAGTGCCCCACACGTGAACACCCCGCAGGTTTGACACTTTCTTGGTGCTCGAGATTATTTGCGATCGTCTTGGCGCTCGACGTTCCTCCTGCTCGAAAGCAGGCTGGAACATCTTGAGCCTCGGCAGTGATCCCCCCCCCTTGGGCAGCCTGGAACATAGCCCTATCCCTATGCTGGGCATCTCCTCATCACGATGCCAATCTTAGGGATTCCCTTTCTTTTTGAGGGCGCCTCCCTAAGATTGTCATCGCCTTTTGGCGTGTCAATCTTAGGGATAGGGATACGTTCGAGGCTGGGAACCCCTCTGGTCGCCTTGGGCGGAGGCCCCCCCGGGGTCCAGGGCACGCCTCCCTCGGGGCCTCGCCCCGCTCCTCGCCTCCTGCGGGGCCTCAGCGTACGCGTTTGCGTATCCGGCGTTCCGACATCCGGCGGGAAGGGGGGGGGGGAGGAGGGGGGAGGGGGGGAGGGGGGGCGTTCCGACATCGGGCGGGAAGGGGTGGGGAGGGGGGCGGTCTGGCTCCGGACCGCGTGCAGCAGTGCGTCCTTTATGGGGGAGGCTCCAAGATCTATTCCAGGGGGGGGACGAGGGGGGTGGGCGCAGGGGCCCGCGCCGGTCGGCAAGACAAGGGACAAGAAACCGATCACAATCAACCCCCACCATGACCAGATCATGGAGCATTCGTGCAGCGGTGGCGACGGGGAACAAAAAGACATCCGAGCAGGCCCTCGCGGCCACAGCGGAGGACGGTCTGTTGGCGGCGCGCACAAGGGGGTAGGGGAAGAGGGGAGGCTTCTTGGAAGGAGCCTGCTTCTTAGAAGGCGCCAGGCCTGTATCTATAGATAGGGCCCGCCCCATTTCAAAAGCAGGGTGCTTCTGAGAAGCCTTTCCCCCTCCACCCACCCCCCCTTCTGCGCGTGGCCGATTCTTCAGAAAGTCGGCCCCCAGAGGTCACGACCCATCCCCTGGGACCGGCTCTTCATCCTGCGCCGTTTCAGGACGGCCCTGGGGCCCCGCGAGGGCCCCCAAAGGCCGAACACGGCCCCAAAAGAGTCCGCCGTGAGTTTCCTGTGACCCGATGGAGGTTTCAACGACCGCTCAAAATGGATCCCCTCCTCTTGAGCTATGCTGGAAGCCTTTGGAGGCTCAGAGAGCCCCCTGGAGACCTCGAAAGGACCTGCTGGCCCCTGGCGCGAAAGTGGGTTACGGGCAACGGGAAATTTGTTGCCCCTGGGACTGGGTCCCGGAAGCAGGTCATGTTGCTCCTCCAGGTGGCCTTCGGCCCAACCTGCCTCCGTGCCTTTGTTGCTGGTCTGAAATCTCGTTGATGCCTGTTGGGATCTCTGGCGAGAAGAGAGAGAGAGAGAGAGAGAGAGAGAGAGCGAGGGGAGAAGGGCTTAAATTTGTCCTGGGGCCAACGGGCTGCGAAAAAATGTGAGGACTGTGTCCCCAAAGTGGAAGCAAGCGCCCATGCTCTAAGAGATTCGAAGGGGCTAAGAAGTGGGCCCTGTGTCCCAAGGTGAAGAGAGCCACTGTTCCTATAGAAAGTTCCGCGTAGCTATGCCGTGCCTGAAGCCTCGACGGGAAACTGTACCACCTAGTGGATGGAACTGTAAAGGTTGGAGGGGAGAGAGTGGGCACATGAGCATGTGGATGAGCAGTGTCTGCAGACCGGTGAGAAGCCCTCCTCTGGATGTGCGCACAAGATCGGTTGAGGATGGCCATCATTCCGCAAGGGTCACGGCGCTGATTCAGGCTCCAGGAAGACGCGCAAGGCATCCACGAGGAGGACCCAGGGCAGCCTAAGGGGGGATGCCCGAGAACCCCTAAGTGCCTGGCAAAACCATGCTGGGAATCATTTTTGGACTCTGGGGGGTGGGGCATCTCCGTTTTTTGTTGGGCGTCGCCTGGGGGGGTGGGCATCTCCGTTTTTTGTTGGGGGCGCTTCGAGGGCCTCCCCGGGGCTCTTGGCATCTTGGCTTGAAATGTCGATTTGGATCCCCGCTATTGCCCTGTCTTGGGGGCGTCTCGAGTGCCTCTTGGGCCGTCGTGGCGGCATCTGGGGCCGTCTGGGCGCGCTCTTGCGTTGCATTCGAGCCGTCGCGGGGACCTCTTGGGCTGCCTTGGTGCTGT